AGGGCCCTTGGCTGGTTCCCTAAAATTCCTTCTAACCATCAACCTTTGTACTAAAATATTCTTTCTGTCATGATTTGTGGACATTAAGATCTAAAGAGAAGGGTTGAATCCTTGTCAGGCCCTTTATTTCAGTGAAAGGGTGGAGTCAAAGTAAAAAAAATATGCACCCCAGGATAAGGACGGGGTCACTCCAGTTGCTTGAAGTTTGAGGGTATTCGGCTGGTAGTTGCAGGGAAGTGGGCTGCCTTTCGGCTGGCGTTTGACTAGGAAGGGCCATTTTGAATGGCTGCTATTGTAGACAGTGATAACAAATGGACTTAATATTAGTTATTAACATGCCCCTCTACAAAAAGTTAACGCCCAAACCTAGAGATATGGGCATCAGCACCTCCAACTGCAACTGGTTAGCTACTTACTGACCACCAGATCCCTACATCTTCAGTTATGTTTCAGATTCGCACGCCTCTGTGCTCTAAAACCCCTTTTTTCCCTGGCTTGTGCTGCCAGGATACTCGTATCCCAGTAGTAACTGCGTCATCCAGCAATAAGCCAAAAAGAAGAGGAACAAAATGAAGAAAAAACTAATATTGTCTGTGTCTGGATATCCCAAACTATAGGACCCATGTTTGTGATTGGGTTGCTTTGGAAATGGATCTCTTTAAAAAGCTGGAACTCCTCAATCTGCTTTCGGGAAATACAGTTTTTTTTTTTTAATACAAAGCCTTTTTGTCACAGTTTTAATTCTGAATATCAGGGCTAGTGCTAGCATTGTGCAGCTGAGAAAATAATTCACTGGACCTGCCAACCGGTGACGATGGTATCCTGTATTAGAAGGCTATCAGAAGTGGTGTACCACAGGGTTGTGTGCTAAGCCCCATCTTCTGCTGGGCTTTCATTTATTATTACGCACTTTTAAATACCCCTGACAGTATATATTTTTTTGTACTTTATATATTTATCCCTTTAATAACCAATATTCTTCTTCCTTCTTCCAGCGTTTTATTATCATTACACTATCATTACAGTTGGCTGCCATTGTGTGGTGCCCGGGGAGCAATTCAATTTATTTCTATAGCGCCAAATTCACAACACGTCATCTCAAGGCACTTTACAGTTAAACCAGATCATCCAG